AGTAAAAAAACACATGAAAACGAGGATACTTTTGATTAGTTAAAGTATCCAGTTGTGAGTGAATTATTTACGTAGCAAAATGTATGAACTAGTCTCAATTTTACGTCAGTTATTATTGGATTTACTCATATCTGTTGTATGGTATATAAGAATTACGACTCAATTTACGGTTCTATAAATGATATTCGTTACAAGGAAATTATTCTCAACAAAAAGACAGCTTACATGTTAGGTTACTAAAGACAGTAGACGGAAAACTCTAGACCTAGGTTCCGTGCTGACTGGCATTTATTACCACGGCATACCTGTAATCCAGAGGGAACTGATACTTCCTGTGAGTCTCGAACCCAACTTCAGAGTTTGAAACTACTCGTGACACGAAAAACTCAGTTGTAACTCATCTGACGGTGAAAAGGAGTGAAAAGGATTCGAATCGTATAGGGTGCGTGAATCCCCTTAAGATTACAGATATGTCTTAATGAAAAGCTGAAATTAACATAAAACCTGGGTTCAGAATTTCCTATGGACTACGTTCAATCGCTTAACATCAAAATACAGAACTCGTAAAAGTGTATCTCTCCTGCTAGTGACCCGTCGACGGAATTCAATCAGCATTTCGTGCTAGACACACATGACATCAGTCACTACTCAATGACCAATCAATCGTAATCACGCCTATGTATTTATGGTAAAGTATAGTATACTGTCGAGTTTAAGCGATTCTAAAACATTCCTGAAGTATTTATGGCACTTATCAGCCACTAACGATTAAGGATGCTAAAATTTAGAATCTCCGGCTTTGCAATTAATGAAACTTTAATATACACGGCGGTTTTAAGCAGCTTAACTTCTGAGCCCAGATAACCATTAGCTTGTGTAACGGAGATGAATTTCAATTGATTGGCAATGGTTATGTTAAATCTTCCCGCTGTGTTATTTTAGGGACTTCAAAGTATATTGAGAATTATTTAGAAAAATTATGATTTCTTTTTCTTTGTTAAATATTCTTACAGCTTGTATCAGCATTCGCTGTATCTAGTATGTCATCAAATGCTGGTCGTATTGGTAAACCATTCAATCCATTGTTAGGTGAAACTTACGAATTACACTACAGGAATTTTGTATTCGTTGCAGAACAAGTATGTTTCATCCGTGATTGACTGATTGATTGGTTAAGTTTTTTTGTTACTTTGGTGTTATTTTCTTTTGATGTTTATTATAAAGTTTAATAAATCTGGCATTTGAATGCTTGACGCTAAATCTCTAACTGTCTCCCAGTCTCCCTTCTCATCCGCCTCAAAAATTTCCTACAATTTAGCCCTGAACAGTAAACAAAAGATAAGAAGTATCAAAAGTGGTTTTACTTTTAAAATTGGTCTAAGTACAAAACACAGAATACCTATAGGTTGATGTGTGACAATAATATTCGGTAAACTTCGGGAAACGTGCTGTTATTAATAGGAAGATCAATGAACATTTCAGTCATTATATAACAGGTTATGGATTGTTTTTTTAAAACAAACTGATATATATTTCAGAAATTAACTAAGAAGCTCACTTTTACATGAAATAAGCGCTGACGATGTTATGCAAAATCATAACAAAAGCTATGTCACTAAACTATCTTTAGCTCCGAGAACTCAACATCACTAAAAGCATCCACTTGAGTTTTGAATCTTCTCCGTTCTGTATATCATGATTTGCTTGATAAGGCTATAAACCTTTGAAAATCTAATTGGTTCAGAGTTACATTATGCTTTCCTTAATTGATCACAAACTCGTCTTCCCTTGGAACAAGACAAAATGCCTATCAAAAATGTAGTCTATTAATTAATGATAGATTTATATGAAAAGAATTTAGTTAATTGATCAAAATAAAGAGTGCGCCTACCATTGTGTTTATTAAGTCACCAGTCTCAAACCATCAGAAGATGGTTATGCAAAGTTCTCTAATTTCGAATATGGTAATAATGATTATAATAATTGTCTTACCCATCATCGTTTGTTTGATTACAGTGAAGAATTCTCATCAAAAAATATAGCGATATTACAGCAAATTTCATTTGTCATTGCGTAGTATAATTCCAATGAAAATTGTCTCTCGTGTCCTTCTCTTCACCGTTTTCTTTTCAAAGGACTATTAACAAAGAAAATATATCAACCATTATAATAGAGTTATTCCTAACTAATACAGCATTGTGTTTGTAAATTTTCTTTTTTGTTAAAGCACGTGAGGACTTAACCTTTAGACCATCGAGTCGGTATCTAATGGTTTCCATGTTTAACCTCAATTAACTCGCAATATTGCGCAACCTCTTTCAAATGTTATTGGTGGATAACTGCTTCATATCCGGTATGGTTGAACTTCACTAATCAGAGCCACTCACTAGAATTCTGTTTGTTTGTTTTTGTGAGACCTAAAGTTCATGGGTTCGATCCCTAATGAAGCCGTGAATGAGCGCTACTGAGGAGTCCCATACTAAGAAGAAACAATTATCTATGAGTTCCTGGTTTTCAATGGTTCTATAACTAAAATCAACTAGCATTGTAAACTATAAAATCAGACTATCACCACAGATTCCCTTTTACTAAACATTCACTCATCGTTTCCTTGTTATTATCTACATCCGTGTTTCTCTTCATTCACGTTTCAAGGTATCTCATCATCCACCAATCACAGCTTTTCATGTTGAATCAGATAATTATAGTCTACGTGCTACTCTACAATTTAAATTACGTTTTTGGGGTAAATCAATTGACGTTCAACCGAAAGGATTAGTTACATTACAATTATATCATTTTAATGAATCTTATACATGGCAAAATATCAATTTAACAATACATAATATATTGACTGGTAAAATTTGGGTAGAACATGTAAGTCTACTTGTTGTTGTGATCAATTTGTTGCTTATATATATGTAAAGTAATTTCTATTTAGCACAGTGCTGTTAATTTTATGATATAATATCAGTAACTATGACAGTCATTGTGTCAAGAATGAAAGTAAAATAAACATATGTCATCACTTCAAATGTGAAACAACTAATTATTGATTGTTAAATATGCCGACATTCAACCAATAGGTCCCAGATTCGAGTTCCATCTCGCCTAATTTTGTTTAGGTAATCATAGATAATGACTGCTGCTAACTTCCCCCCTCCCCCACTATGTATATCTGTTGCGTAATTACCAATTTAGTTGAATATTATTGAACTTTGATTTTTATCAACATTTCATACAGACTGAGTTATGAATTGTCACTGTTCAAAAAGTGAACTCGATTAACATCTGATTTTCATTTACTCTCAGTTCTCATGTGATGATTGAACAGTTGATTTAATTTGTTACTTTTTATTCATCACATTTCTGTTTATTCAAATTTACATGTCACTTAGTTGAATAGTTAACTAGTGTTGAATGAAAAAAAAAAACGGATTCAAGTCGAAAGTTATGTCGTCATATGCGCCGACTCAGCGTTCGCCGCGAGATCAGAAGGTTTTTGGTTTAATCCTCTGTAAAGTCGTGGATAAACACAACTGAGATTTATTACCCCTACGATGAAATAGTTGTCTAGTGGTTTCGTGATTTAAAATATAAAATTAAACAATCTCCACAAACCCACTATATGTATATTTTGCTTTATTTTATGATAAACAATAGTTCACTTAACTGTTAACTATTCTCAGTGTTATGTATAACCATTATTTACTTCTGATTAAATTGACCAATCATTAATACACTAAATCTTGCTAAAAACTGTACCACTCAGAAAATAAGAGATTGGTGATTTTGTGTAATTCAGTTTAGTTTACTACTTCAACACCTACATTAAATAGATTGTAAATTAATTACAAAAAATGTCCACAATAAGTCAGTAGCCCGTGTAATATACCAAGCAGAAGCTTACCAGTGATTATTGGACTGAGTTAAAAACTGTGAACCATTAAATTTCAACCCATAAGAATTGAATGTTCTTGGAACTATTTCGTCTAATGTGGGTCGACACCGTTGAGGAGCTTAAACTAAGACGAAACAACTATTCAGTCGTATTTTATACTCTACAGTTCTCCATCTGCTGACGATTTGTGACAAAAGTTATTTTCACATTCTAACTGCGTATTAAATATACTTCATCAGTGTTTTTCAGAAAAGTTTCCGACTAATTACCACATATATTACGTCTTGATACATTTAGTACACTGGCATCCAATGGTTTGTACTTCTAATTTCAATCAATTCGTGATACCCCACCAGACACCGTTCAATGTCATTTGTGAATAACTACCTCATACCTAACATAATTGAACGTCACTGATCAGGACTTCTCACAAGAATTCCGGGAATCACCTCTCGAAATTAGTCATTAGTAAACACATAATTGTTCGACATCTGATAAATTCGTGGGTGCTCACTGCAGAGGAGTCTTACATTAGAACGAAACAGCCTTCCAGTGTTTCCAGGTTTTTAATGATTGTCTAATAATAACCAGTTTGTTAGGTAATCTATTAAAAATTATTATTTTTCATAACTACCATTACGATCTTGTTTCATTTTGTTCCACTCTTTTGACTTTTCTTTTCTTTCGGATACTTACAGACTGGCACATTGCGTATCACTAATCATTCGTTAGGATTATATTGTCAGTTAGAATTTCATCCATCTAATTCGTTTGGACATGGTTGTAATCGTGTTGTCGGTGAATTATATGCTCCATCAACATTAGATAAAACGCAGGCAGTTTCAGCTTCAAATACATCTCATAATACTACTGTTAATACTACTATTAATACTATCAGTAAAAATATATTTAATCATCATAATAATTCATATGTATTAAAGAGAATAATTTTTGGTAATTGGTCTCGTGGTTTATTCACAGTCAAACCGAATGTTTGGAATGAAAAGGAGGAAATCATTGATGTAAGTGGTAATGTTTACTTTTTTTTAAATAAAAAACAAACTAACATTTCTGTTTGCTATAATTGTGCAATTATCAAATTTTCTTACAAGTTCCATATACTTATTCAGTCTTCTAATCAATTCAAGGCTGGGGAACCTTGCAAAATGTGAAAAAGTCTAACGTTAAACTGTATCAGATAAGAATATTCATTGTTCACCAAGTTTCTTTTTTAACACAGTTATTCCTTTTGCCACTTTCAGTCTAATGGACCAATTTTATTTACACTAAATAAAGGAACCATTAATTCTGTAACAACATCGAATGTCGTTTTTAAGCTTTTGACAAGTTTACTAGCGTATTAAACTTTATCTGATGATTGGATTTCATAGTTCTATATGATATTGTTTATATGGAATTGTCATATGTAAAGCAGATGATAGTAATCCCCTTTCCTCTAAGGTTGTTTGTTCATGATGTTTACTGTTGTTTCATCCTTGTTTGGAACTTATTAATAGTACACATAATACAACTCCACAAGGGTAATGAAGTACAGGATCATTACGTTTCTTGAAGGACATGATTTTCTGAGCTAAGGCTTTACCGATCACTTTTTCTGACTTCATACAAATCCCCGTACTTACTTACTTACGCCTGTTACTCCTCGTGAAGGAGCATAGGCCACTCACCAGCATTCTCCATCCAACCCTGTCCTGGGCAATCCTTTCTAGCTCCGTCCAGTTGTAATTCATCGTTTTCATATCTGCTTCTATTATCCGACGCAATGTGTTCTTTGGCCTTCCTCTTTTCCGCTTCCCTTCAGGATTCCAAGTTAGGGCTTGCCTCGTGATGCAGTTTGACGATTTGCGTAGTGTATGTCCTATCCATTTCCATCGTCTTTTCCTAATTTCTTATTCAGCTGGAAGTTGGCTTGTTCTCTCCCACAGAAGGCTATTGCTGATGGTATCCGGCCAATGGATGTTGAGTATCTTGCGAAGACAGCTATTTATAAATACTTGTACTTTCTTGATGGTGGTTGTTGTAGTTCTCCAAGTTTCAGCTCCATACAGTAGAACTGCCTTGACGTTCGTATTGAAGATTCTCACTTTGATATTGGTTGAAAGTTGTTTTGAGTTCCATATGTTCCTCAATTGTAGGAATGCGACCCTTGCTTTGCCGATCCTCGCCTTTACGTCTGCATCGGATCCTCCTTGTTCATCGATGATGCTTCCCAGGTATGTGAAGGACTCTACATCTTCGAGAGTTTCGCCATCAAGTGTGATTGGATTGCTGTTCTCCGCTTTGAATTTGAGGACCTTAGTTTTCCCTTTGTGTATGCTGAGGCCTACTGATGCAGAGACTGCTGCTACACTGGCTGTCTTCATCTGCATCTGTTCGTGTGTACGTGATAGGAGGGCTAGGTCATCTGCGAAGTCCAAATCGTCTAATTGATTCTGAGCTGTCAATTGTATTCCGTGTTTTCCTTCAGATGTTGAGGTCTTCATAATCCAGTCGACCACCAGAAGAAAAAGGAAGGGAGAGAGTAAACAGCCTTGTCTGACTCCGGTCCTTACTTGGAATGCATCTATCAGCTGTCCTCCATGCACTACTTTGCACTGTAGTCCGTCGTATGAGTTCCGGATAATATTGACAATCTTCTCAGGAACTCCGTAGTGTCGAAGAAGTTTCCATAATGTCCTCCTATCTACACTGTCGAATGCCTTTTCATAATCAATGAAGTTGATGTATAGTGATGAGTTTCACTCAACTGATTGTTCGACGATGATCCGTAGTGTTGCAATTTGGTCTGTGCACGACCGATCCTTACGGAATCCAGCTTGTTGATCTCGAAGTTGGGCGTCTACTGCATCCTTCATCCGGTTCAGCAACACTCTGTTGAAGACTTTCTCTGGTATTGACAGTAGTGTTATGCCTCTGTAGTTTTCACATTTGCTCAGATCTCCTTTCTTTGGAATCTTGACGAGGTGTCCTTCTTTCCAGTCCATCGACACTTGTTCCTCCTCCCAAATCTTTTTGAATAGAAGATAAAGCATGCTTGTGGTTGCTTCGATGTCTGATTTCAGTGCTTCAGCTGGTATGTTGTCGGGTCCCGCTGCTTTCCCGTTCTTGATTTGTCTGACGGCCATTCTAATTTCTTCCGTAGGTGGTGGATTGACATCTATAGGAAGATCTATGTGTGCTGCTTCGATGTCCGGTGGATTCATTGGAGCCGGCCTATTCAGGAGTTCCTCGAAGTATTCTACCCATCTATTACGCTGTTGTTGAATTTCGGTGATTGGCTTGCCTTCTTTGTCTTTGACCGGCCTCTCTGGTTTACTGTATTTCCCTGATAGTTTCTTCGTTGTATCGTAAAGCTGTTTCATATTTCCTTCTCTTGCAGCTTTTTCTGCCGTCGTTGCTAGTTCTTCCACGTATTTCTTTTTGTCGGCTCTAATGCTCCTCTTCACTTGTTTGTTTGCTTCTATGTATTCAGCTTGTGCTTGGACTTTCTCTGCTCGTGTTCGGCTGTTGTTAATTGCTGCCTTCTTGTTCTTCCTTTCTTTGATCTTGTCTAGTGTTTCTGTAGAGATCCATTCCTTATGATGGTATTTCTTTAGACCGAGAACCTCTTGACACGTTGAAGTTAATGCTTCCTTGATGCCTTTCCAGTTGTCCTCCATAGTAGTTTCTTCTTCTTTCAGTAGATCTTGTAAGGCTTGGAACCTATTGTTGAGAGCTATCTTGAATTCATTGAGTTTGTCAGTATCTCGAAGGAAGGCTGTATTGAACCTTTGTATTGCTGTTTGTCCACTTGTCCAGTTCTTTTTTAGCTTCAGTTTTAAATTGGCTACATCTAGGTGGTGATCTGAAGCTATATCAGCTCCTCTCCTGGTTCTCACATCTTCCATTGTCCTTCGGAATTTTTTGTTGATGCAAATATGATCTATTTGGTTCTCTGTAGTGTGGTCCGGTGAGATCCATGTAGCCTTGTGTATACGCTTGTGTGGAAATATTGTGCCTCCTATGACCAATTTGTTGAATGCACATAGATTTGCAAATCTTTCTCCATTTTCGTTTCTTTCTCCCAGTCCATGTCGTCCCATAATATCTTCATATCCAGTGTTGTCTATTCCGAGTTTGGCATTTAGATCTCCCATCAGAATAGTTAGGTCCTTTCTTGGGCATTTCTCAATGATTGACTGCAGCCGCTCGTAGAACTGATCTTTAATGTCGTCGTTGCTATCATTGGTGGGTGCATAACATTGGATAATATTCATTAAGATCCCCTCCTTCTTTGTTTTGAATGATGCTTTGATGATTCTGGATCCGTGAGATTCCCATCCTACAAGTGCATTTCGTGCTACTTTGGACAGCATAAGAGCGACTCCCTGAGTGTGTGGAGCATTGTCCTCTTCGTGACCGGAGTATAGCATCATCTCTCCCGTAGCTAGCCTTTTTTGTCCAGCTTGGGTCCAGTGGGTTTCGCTGATTCCCAGTACTGCTAAGTTGTATCTCCTCATTTCCATTGATATTTGACTGGTCTTCCCGGTTTCCCACATTGTTCGAACGTTCCACGTACCTATAAAAATTTTTGCTCTGGTTGTTAGAAGGGGCATCGGCCTCGTGGCTTCCGAAGGAACTCGGCTTTCACCGTGAAGCGTCATAATTCTTCTAAATGAAGACCTTCTAACTCCCAGGGCAGAGTTAAAATGGTTTGGATTATTTTTTCTGGTAAGCATTTTTTTAGCGAGTTAGTTTTCTACGGGATGGGGACGCTAACCCCATGCCCAACCCTCCTCCTTTACCCGGGCTTGGGACCGGCAGCAACCCTATAAGAGCTACAGGCGGAGTTACAAATCGCCGTACATTGAATAATTTTCATCTTACTTCTCTCACAACTCTGTATACTACTACTACTATTACACAGGTTACAGTTTTTCATTAGATTTCTGTCGAAAATTCATCTTCAAATGCACAAATATTATTTTAAATGGTTTCAATGAACTGTTTGTATAATCATCAACATGAGTTGACATCAACCAGGTAAAATCATTGTAAATCAATGACCATTAAGGAGCATCCCCATAATTCTTTCAAATAATAAAAAATCGACAAAAAAAAGTGAATCTGTGAAAACTTCTAGGTTTATCTTACCCTTAAAATCCATTCGCGATCTATTTAATACATAATGTGTACTGTTCAGTCTTTTTCGCTGTATACTTTACAACTGATTAGTTAAATTAAATTTATTTGATATGACGATAATAATATAGGTAGGAGCTTAAAATTAACCGCGTAGATTTTCAGCCAACCCTTGACCAATCAAAAAACATGTCTTGTAAATGAACAGTTTTTGAAGAAAAAAAACTAATAATATTACAAAGTATAAACAAGTTTTGAATATTTAATAAGTCTATTAAAGTCATCTACAGGTTGTTATGTCTGTAAACCGTAAAAAAATATAATGCTTAGATTAAATATAGGGTACTAAGTAGAGATGGAAATTTGATTAATGAAGTAGTGAATCTTCATCAACTAAGGTGGTTAGAACGTGTGTTACGTATGCCGAACCACCGCCTGCCTAGATGAGCGATATTGTCTTTTGTAGGGATAGATTGAAAGGAACTTAGTGGTGACAACACTAAAACGCTGCATCACTCCATGAAGTCATTGTTGGATTGATCCACGTAGGTAGTTTCAAGCTAACTATTGGAGTTCGTGAGGTATCTGTGGTCAGTAGTCGGAAACGTTGAGTGACATGGTTCGGAACAGTCCTTAGAGGCGTAAATGCATTCATTCTTTATGTTCTCTTAGTTCCTGAATCCCAAAATCTCCTTATACCTTTTTTGAGTACAAGTGATCTTTTATACTACTATTGATGCTGTCATTTTTCCTACTACTTTGGGATTTATCTTGATAATTGTATCTCACTGTGTTAATGTGGCATGGAAACTTTAGTCTAGACACATGTTGAATTCTACATTGCATATGACAAAACTGACTGAAATCACAAAAACGATGACAAGTAAATTCCCTCGTAGGAATTTTCATTATGCGTCTCCCCAACCCTTAAAAGGACATAACTAGGATTTTAAGAATTTTCGCAGTATTCTTGGTTAGCGTTAAAATTAGGATTTTCATCGCAAACCGACATGAGCTGTAGTGAAAAATTAACCTTTTTAGTCTTATAAATGAAAAACTTTCAACCTCAAAATCCATGTAACACTGTGAAATCAGTACGTTGATAAAACATAACGCCAGTAGGTTAAAATTTGTTACAGGATTTCAGGTTCAAGGAATAGGATCAATTTGCCAAGAAATAATTTCCTGTTATCATTTTAAACATTCTGATCAACGCATAAATGTATTTCTATCTCTTACTATGCATTCACAATTCTGATTAACTCATCTCTAACTTTTATCTCTCTGTGAGAATTTTAAAATTCGCTCCACTCTGCAATTCTCTCAATTAAAACAAAAAACATTACGATTTTTATTTATTTGTTTATTTATTTCAAATAAATTTTTTTAATAATTATTTATGAACTAAAAGAGGGCTGATCAGTTTAACGTCAGCACATTCAAAATTAAATAATAATAACAGAGACTGTCATAACAGTAACATTGAATCATTTCGATTTTATTGAATAAGTGTAACTAAGTAAATTCTATTGTTTGTTTTTGTTGATTTTCTCATTTTATCGTGTTTGTGTGTGTGTGTGTTCATGTGTGCATTGTGTGTTTGTTCTTTTCAATATCGAAAGTTTCCTTTTTTTTCTCATCTCTATTGTTTAGAAGGTTTATTGTTATTATTATCCCTGGATTTGCTTAAATGTGTAGATTATGAAATAAGTTTTGAAAAAATTTGTTTATTGAATATTGAAATTTACCATTAAACTGAATTATAAATATTATCCATCATTTTGAGATTTGATGTTGGTTGGATGTAGTCGACAAGAAACCCTGGACCCGGGTTTCGTGCATTCGATCTGCACTAATAAGGAATAGACACGCATGACATTGATCGCCACCCAGTGATCAATCAATCGCGATTACATCTCAGTCCTACAGGAGGTCGGTCGCGACTCGGATAGCTCAGTGTTAACGTCTCTGACTGTGAAGCTGGGTGACACGGGGTCGAGTCCGTTAGGGAGCACCAGTTCCCTCAAGATTACAGGTACACCTTGCTGACGAGGGCCAAGTAGCACGAAACCCGGGTCTAGCGTTTCCTGTCAACTAACTCCAATCACCATCTAATCTCAACATAGTGCACGCAATGTCGAGTCACCTAGACTAGTGGCCACATTGCAACTTGGTCGATAGCATTTGATCTGCACTAAGAAGGACTTGACACACATGACATTGATCACCACCCAGTGATCAATCAATTGTGAGTATCCATCATTTTTAAAATTAAATTGGTGTAACATACGTTTCATTGTGAGATTGTGGAGAAGACTTGTAGCTTAAGTGGATGATTTTGATGGGGCTTTGTTCTGTGAGTTGAATGGTTTGGTCGTGGAGTGTTCGTCGTACTTCTGAACGAAATCATCAGCACAAACTTCATTGTTTTAAACTAAGAAAACTTTATCAAGTAGAAGAGCTTCCTACAATGGCCTAATATAGTTCATAAACGTGATTATAAAATTATTTAATTGAATGAATATAACACCTCTAAAATTGTCATCTTAAGCTACGAATATGCTTCACTATATCATTAACTCTATCATATAGCATATAGTTTAGACATTCAGTAATTAATCATTTAGATTTCATGTTCAAATTTCGTTTTCTCTAATTCTGTTTGAATAGGCGATATAATATCGCCAAGTATTGATCTAATCTGTCTTTAACTAGGGATATATGACTTGTATCGATACAAAGAGAATAGAATGTTTTGTTATTTCTGGAATTTTCTAAGATTATTGAATTCGAAGTTTTACCACAAGGAATAAAATCCAGGATTTTAATTCCTTACCAAAGTCAGTCTAAGATGTACAATTACAAATTTATTAATCTCCACAATAATACTGTATAATAACAATACTTATAATCATGTTCTGAATAATTTTGAAGGGTAATCTCCGGAGTTCTGATGAGCAGTAGTGACCAGTGAAATTAAGTCATATTGAATGTGTGACAGATGTAATCAGTCGCAATAGATGATAGTTGAGCAGTAATGAGAATTGGTTGAAGTTAAAAATGTAAATAATTTGATGCCTACTGAGTGATTCGAAGTTTTATAGCTCGCAGTGAAACTTGAATGCCATGGCTTTCATCCACATGAAGCGTTTGTAGATAGGCACTAGCGGTAAGGATCATCATTCAGTGATTACTGGTTCTCAATGATTGTTTTATCAAAGACAGTTCATGATGTAAAACTTCAAATAGAATATTTATTAAAAATTATTGTCCATAAACTATTGTGTTCATACATACTTCTGAGTACTCAACATAAGATGAATTGCGTTGAGCTTTCAAGTTGCTTAGCCAGTGTGAAAACATAGTACATTTCAATCTTTTTATGCAATTCAGTTAAGTAGTTGACAATTTCATGTTATCTGCTTCAAAACAATTATTTCGTGTAAAATTAAATATCATCCAGTTTCTCGAACCGAATCAGATTGTTCAACGTTTTAGTCACATTAATCCATCGACAAATTCATTTGGTATAACTCATTCATTATTCGAAAGTATTCAGCCAGAAATGATCATGTTAAGTGTTTTTTCATAAGAGAATTTGATAAAAATGTCCTAATTTACTGCTTCCGGATCCCGCGTGCGGGATCGTGGATGCACACTACTGAGGAGTCCCTTACCACGATGAAACGGTCATTCAATGCTTCCAGGTTTTTAATAGTGTTCTAGCTTAGATCGACTAGTGATTTCAACTCTAATAATCTTATTAGTTTACAGTGTTGCGCAAGAGGTAATGATGTACATGTTACCTTAATGATGTGTTGCATATAAATTTTAAATTAAGACCACCATGGCACTAGTATTATTCCAAAGTGAAGAAACCGGAAAAAACATGTTTACTTTGCAGAGTTATGGTTTCATATCTTATTAATGGGTCAAAGTTCCTTGTTTTGTCGGCAGTTAAATATAAAGATATATTAATCGATTTGGACAAATTGAAAATAAGTGTGTGAATTACTTTACACTGACCACGCTTGATATCAAATTCAAGGATTGGAGTCCTTCTAATCACCTTACTCATAACATTAGTATAATTAAAAGTGGAAAGCGGCTATGATCAGTATACTCCGGTTTTTAACACTAAATGAACTGATAGATGAAGAACTACGCATAAATAAAGTTTATTTATCATACACTCTATTAAAAAAAGAATCATAATAAGAAACTGGGAAATTAACCTAGTGACAGTTATAACAATAAAAGAATATTCATATACTTGTATGTTATAATAAAAGATTACATTGATTGATTACTGAGTGGTCGTAATAGTGACCAGTGTCATATCTATTAATTAGGCCTAGTTTTAATTCTACAGAAAGAATCAGTTCACTTAAGATTGCAGGCACGCTTCACTAATGAGTACTAACGAACATGAAACCTAGATCCAGGGTCTTCAGTAGGCCATCTCCAGTCATCCTATAATAAAGCCTCATTGGATTGTGATTGGTCTTTGATGTATAGGTAAATAAAACAGACTTCTTAGATACGCAGATTAGATTACGTGTTGATTTTCAGACAATCTATTTCATCTGAAAAAAATTATGTGTTTTAGAATACTTTTTCAACTAAGAAGTTGTGTTTCTATAAATCGGTGTAACCAAGTTGATTAACGTTGACTTTGAGGGATACTAAAAATCATCTCAGTGTTTCTTATACTACTGAAATAGACAATGAATAAATCATTTATAAGATGTAAAATATTTTGCTAAGAAAATGAATGAAAATTGTGACCTATTTTTACATTTATATACGAACTTACTTGATTACTTACAATTATCACTCCTCATGGGACTTAGGCCTCCGATTAGGGATCCTTAAATAACCCTGTCCTGTGCTCTTTCCAATTGTTCCCAGTTGCTTTTCTTTTTTTCGATGTCTCCGATTCCCGGAGCAATG